GAAATCTTCATACTCTGATGACGGAGGCAGTATGACCTCTGAAACGTTAGAAAACATCGACCAGACTACACAGCGCAACAACCCAGAAGACGGAAATCTTCATACTCTGATGACGGAGGCAGTATGACCTCTGAAACGTTAGAAAACATCGACCAGACTACACAGCGCAACAACCCAGAAGACGGAAATCTTCATACTCACCGCTGTGAGAAACTCAAGTCTTACATATTCCCTTAATTCTGTAAAGCCTTTCAAGTAACAATGTGCGACAGAATAACAGAGAACAAGACCTGTTGCTTACCATCTTGCCCAAGGCCAGCATACGTAAGGATACTCTGGAAAACCTGCAAGGCCACCTGCTCATCAACCTCTGGCATCTTGCTAAGGCTCTGGGGAATCGCCTGCCGACTGAATGCCCAGTATGCATATGGGAAGCCCTTGTATGTCTCCCCGTGATCCGTGCTTGATCCGTGTTCCTGACGGAGTTTCTCCAACCGGTGCTTGCTCAACCTAATATCAGCAGAAAAAATATGTCGTTTAAATATGGAACCTTATTCAGTGAAAGTAACGTCACCAATAATCAGACAAATTTTGTCATTATTTCGTTTCTGTATCTACTACGAGCTTCAACTTTATTTCTCCAATGATGCAGAACAATTTTGTTAACTGGAAATTGTACAAACTGAGCATAGTTTTGGGCTTTTGAATAGTCAAAATTTTATGGGTCTGACCAATGAACCCTTTCCAGTAAAATACCAAATCAAACTTGACACCTCATTTTGCTCTACTTCATCCACTACCGATGCAACAATCACACTGAATATATTTATTTATTTATTATTATTATTTTTTTTTTTGCTTGACTTTTGCCACGCCCTGTATTGTGGCAATGAAATTTCTGCAGGTTGGTCTCAATACTGTATAACATCAAAATCCCTTATTCACACAGTAAGAACAGTACTTACCTTCTTAATGTGTTTCTCAAGAAACCTCCGCCTGTATCTTGTGGCTTTCTTAAAGTATCACTATCCACAAGAGTGCGACGGCAATTTACCAAGTTATGGTAAAGGCGTATTCTATCCTCATTAGTTATTGCCTTCACCTGTGAATTACAGGAAAATAAAACTGTTCAGTTACTAAATTATTTATAGCAATTCCATACATATTTTGCATTTTCTCTATAAAAAACACTTGAGTACCGTTCGGATTTCTCAAAGTGGATGGTCAGTGTCCACGCAAACATCCCCATAGGGGAAGAAATCCATGAAAACTTGAGCTCATGATTTAATTTAAAACAAATAATATTAAAGAATTATGAGTACACTAACGGGCAAACAATACTTGAAAATATAACAGTAATTTTGGGTTGAAATTACTTCTAATAACAAGTTAAACATCTTCTATGGTATAAAATTATCATAGATTTATCTTTACTCCATGTATTTAACAAATGAATATCTTTCAATTTTCAGATAAAAGGTCAAAATTATTGTGTTCTCAGAATTTTGTGTCCTTGTTCGGTGATATTTTATGCATGAATTGTAGCCTTGCCTTCCTGATGGGTGCTTCGTTCTCTGTAATCCAGGCAGCAAGTGCAGGACAGTAGCTCACAATGAGTGAACCAATCTCATTCTTCTGTTCAGTCTCAAATACAAAGCAACGATGACTGTTGTCAGGCTGCTGCCTCATCAAATTGATGGTTATAAAACTGTCACTAGGGTCCAGGAAGATTGATTCCACATCTTGGTAGCGGTACTCGTACAAGACAAACTTATCATCTGGTTTGATCAGCATCAGCCCCTCAGAGTTCACCCCCAGAATCAGGCTGTTACCTGCAGCACGACAATGGCATACTGACTCTGGACAATGTTGCCTCCTCATTCACTTTTTATGAGCTAACCATAAAGAAATTATATTGAAAAATGTTACACAGTGCATCGGCCTCTGACAGATTCCCTGGCACAATCTAAGCGATAGAAAAAGGACATGAAACAAAGTTATAACAGTTGTGAACACAATAATTAACAATTATTACACAAATATATAAAGCTTACGAGAAAATTAAAATGTAAGATTATGTAATATTTTAAAAAAGTAAAATAATTCATATCAAAGTTAATTTAAATCAAGGTTGGCAAAGTCAGATCACGTAAGATTTTGAAGGTTAAATGGACCTAATCAAGCATGAAGATAGCTGCCTTCTGGATTGTTTCACCATACAGTCTGGTAGAAGTTTATTTATGTTTCAGAGGTACTTGCTACCTCCATCAACAGGGTAGTCACCTTCAAGTTTTGAGGCAGCATTACCTCTGAAATGTCAGTAGACTTGTACCAGACTACATGGAGGAACAACTCATTTTTGTTAATTGTTAATTAATGGTTTCGTAATTCTTTAAAGAATTCTTCTGCATTCTCTTTCAGATGATTAAGCAACTATGACTGCATCAGGAGATTCTCTCCAAAAACTATTGGCACCAATTATCTAAAACTGCCTTAACCTATCTCAGGAGCTCTCGTCTTCACAGCTAAAAGAAAAATATTATCCCTAAAATAAAAGGATAAAATAATTATAAATAATAATACAATAGAACAGGTTAAAAACTTTAATTACCTTTGGCTGTCAATAGAGCAGTAATAGAAATTGTGATCTACAAAATAAATGACAATGGTTTAATTATCTGTGCAGAACAATTAAACACACACACTAATTAATTTTAAGCCTTCATGCCAGTATTTAAATGCCTTCTAAGCTAACACTGTGGTGGTAGTTAAATGGCCTCTCAATACAAAATTTGTGACATAAATTATCAACATTTTCCCACTTCAGTCTGAAATCATGGGTCATTTCACTACCAAATTACTTCCGTGTTACTTCCAAACATCTACTTCACTTTCCCACTATCTGATGATTTTTCAACCACAACACTCTTTTCATCTTCAATTCTATCTAATTCACTCCCACTATCATAAATTCTAATATTTCTATTAACAGGATCTATTTTTTCCAAATTCGGACTGTGCATGTTGCTTTATGGTTGATACAGTGTCAATGCCAAAAAAGAGCGAAGGAAGTAACTCTTGTGCAGTCGCACGTATGAACAAATAGATTAAAGAAATGGGAAGTACGACGTTTAAAGATCTCATAATCCAAACAGTACAACAAAAATCCAAGAGATTGCGTAGCAATGACAATTTATCTTGGTGCCTGCAAATGGTGAGTACATACTTGGGACATCACTTATAACGTAGGTTTTTAGCTGTGAGTACGCTCTTGGGCTACCAGCTTGAAGGGTTAAAATTCTACAAAGTTTCATCAGTACCTTCTTTCTTATATCACAGTGAATGTTGGACGTAAACTAAGTAGCACATCCAACAAGTAGAATCTTCATAAATGAGGTTCCACAGATCAGCGGCAAGTTACAGAAGAGATAAACATTTATATTCAATATTGGAGAGAAAGTAAAAGAATTCCAATGGGAATATTAGAACATATTCTAAGAACGCCAACTTACTCAATTCCTTGTTACCTGTTTGACTACTAACGTAACGGAGGAAAAGAGAGAGAGGTCAACAACCGAAGCGATGGAAGGATTAATTCAACTTATCTGGAGATCAGAACGTGTCAAAAAGGCATAAAAGATGCAGCTGACGACGACGATTAAATTTACTCTCAGACACAGGCGCTGCCATGAATTCATGTATTACTCACCATATGACCAATAGCCACGATAAGTGACTTGAAACATGGTGGTCCCGTAAAGTGGATACTGCATCACACAAGACAGGTAAAGCACTTTGGCAGTGAGCTCAGAACGACTAGCCCCATACTGTCTATGTGCTTGGGCAATGACAGGTACCTGCAATTTCATTACATAATGACATTAAAATTAATTACAGGATATCAAGTTTTATTCATATTCACATGCTCCATATTTATTATGGGGATCAGAGTGGGTATAAAGCAGGTCACTCATCTTATATTAAATGTATGCATTGCACTATTACTTTGGCTACACTTCTGACGGCCCACTTTTAAGTTATATTAGTGTAGAATTATTTTAGATTTAATTACATTGTTTAACGTGACGAAAGACTCTCGGCTTACATGCCGAATCACGTGGCTGAGTGGCGGATAAACCAAATCTACCGCCAAGTTTCACTTTATACATTGTTTACTTTTTGGTAGTTCTAAATTAGCTTTAGAAAACAATAATTTTACTGACTATCCATCGCTGTGGAGTAGAAAATATTGCATTAACACTCTCTCATTTTAGGATGGAATATTTCAAGGGGAAATAATATATTCTCCTTCTTATAGTACTCTTGAAGAAAGTTAATACTTTGGAGTTCTCAATTCTAAATCCTCAGAAGTTGCAGTTAATCTGTTGTCAAAATTATTTCATTCCCAACAAATAAAAATTCATCAGGAGACGCAGGCTCTTCAAATGTGATATGGGGGAGAATTCCAAATGTTGAAATGGAAAATGCCAATGTATGGTTTACCAAGATTGGAGCAGGTTTGTGTTCTTGTATTTGCAGTTTATTTGATGATGTTGTAGTTCAGACTATATAGCGTAGAATGATATGTATAATGAAATGTAAAGGGTATGGAAGGAAGCAGTAAAGGCCTAATATAAGATACTATAATGTAAAGGGTATGGAAGGAAGCAGTAATGGCCTAATATAAGATATTATCCCAGACTTTGCCTCGATGGACCAAGGAAAACCACAGTCAGGATAGCAGGTCTCTGGGCCCAGATTTGACTCAAATTACTTGACAGAATAAAATTCACAAGCCCTCCATACATAGGACTTAATTAAGAATGTGATAAATTATGCCCATATTAAAAAGTTTCTCAAAGCACAGATCGTAAATGTTGTAATTAACGCTGTCTCCACTTCCCATCTAATAAATATTCTGAAGCATCTAAGTGTTCACATCAAAAGAGCAGCCTGGGTTTTAAATGTTGTTCATACCCATTGCTCTTCGCTGTGAGTCCGAGAAATTCGTTGAGGTAGGTAGGTGTCCACATCAGAATAGTAGTCCAGTCGATTAACATCCTTGGGTTCACCCAGTGCTACTTGTGCCTGTAGACCGGCTAACTGAAGAGCTACCTTCTCATTCACGGGGAAGTCGTCACACTACACAACACAATGAGTGTACATTAACTTCAACTTGAGAAAAAGTATTTTTGTTATGTTGGTCTTTGTGAGCTGTATGTTTAAATATTTCATAATAAATAATCAAGGGATAAACTCCAAAATCCAGGACACTAGAAAAGGTATAAAAGTAGAAACAGTAACAAATGAAACAAGATATTAAATAAATGACCATTGGTGAGAACAAGGAGAAAGTGAAGACAAAATATGAACTCAGCAGGAGCGGGTATTGATATGATACGAGTGCTTATGGAAGGATATAGAAGAATGGAGATGGCTTTGTCATAAGACAACCACTTTGATGAAAATGCCAATGGATGATAATTATGATGGTGCACTTCACAAAGTAATTAAGTGAAATAATGAAACACGAATTTAAAGACACATTACATAGGTATTTGAAAGCACTTTTTACACTAGGTCTGATGAAACTGCTAGCTATCTCTGTGACACAGCCCTGGTTAAAGGGGCTGTGAAGGGTACAAATACGAGGTGCAATCGGAACGTTTCTAGACTGCGCCTATAAAAACCCGTACACTTATCTCAGGTATTAAATTCATCCATCACCCTTGAAGTAGTTCCCCTGGGAGTGAACACAACGATCCCAGCACCGCTGCCAAGCCTGGAAGCATCCCTGGAAATCTTTCTTTGTCAGCCTGTCAAGCACCATCTGCGATTCTGCCTGAATCTCTTCTATCGTCTCAAATCTCCTTCCCTTGAGCTGAATTTTCATCTTTGGGAAGAGGAAACCTTAGAAAGGAAGTTGGGGTCGGTTCTTGCAAGATCTTTCAGCTCCTGACAAACGAGAAGTCGATTCTGCTTCTGGTCCTCAGACAGGAGCCTTGGCACAAACTTGGCCGAGATGCGTCGCATGTGGAGTTCTTCCTTTAGAATCAGCTAACAGGTCCCATAGCCTATCCCAACAATGTCGCACAAATCGTTGATGGTACGACGTCGATCTTCGTAACAGTTTCGGGCGTTGTGCTCGAAGATGGTCGTCCAGAACGCTCGTCATCATCGACAGAGGTTCGGCCATTTTTAAAACGTGAATGCCACACAAAAGTTTGTGCACGACCCATTGCGGACTCCCCAAATGCTTGCTTTAGCATTTCATAGGTTTCCGTAGCCGTTTTGTGATTCACTATGAATGTAGGCCGCACCCCCTAGCGGCAGAAGCTCGTACTACATCCGGTTCGCCCTCTATTGACACAGTCTTGAAACTTTCCGATCGCACCTCGTATACCAGTACATTTGGTGTCATGGCGCTGCACGGACATATTCCACTGTTTATGCCCTGCTCAGTAAGAACATACATCAAATCTTTGCTCTGCTGAGGACTGTAAGCTTCTGACATATATTTGGGACTGATTATACCAAGTTCTCAGTTTGCTTATTTCTTTATCTTGTTCTCTCTTTGTTATACTTCTTTTTTGTGTGATTGAAACCAATTAGAATAGATCATAAACTGAGACAGTGAACGAAGAGGGCTCTCCCATTGCATTAGATGAAATAGTAACAACATTAGAATTTTACATCTCAGATTCTGATGACAGTAAGGCTAGCACTAATTCTTAACATAAAAATGAGAGCGGCGTAAGTGAACCTGAACCAGTTGCAACACCTTTTAATGGTAAAAGTGGAAAACAGTACAAAAACATGTTTGATTACCAAACCAAAATTACCTAACTTTATGATAAAATGTGTGACAGCAAAGCCACTCACTCTGGCAGTTAAAAAATCACACCTCAAAGGATTAACTTTGGTACTACAGAGAGCCGAATGGTCACACTATGCTCCAGCTTCTTTCAATCTAACACAAAAGTGCTCCTGGTACCAAATATGAGAGACATTTTATATGTGCTAGAGCACAGCAAAGTCCAACACTCCTACAGGGATATTTACTATAGACATCCAGTCCATAAACTGTCCTTTAACTAATCTGTTATGGCTACTAATTAAAACAATTCACAAAATAAATTTGTGTCAGTAAATAAATAACTGATGCTGTACGACCAACCTTTACAACACTGTACACAGCCTGTGCATACAGCATATTCACTTCCACTGGATCCTGAGAAAGTTCTCGGGTGGTTCGGAACAATCGTCTCTTGAATACAAATCTGTTCTCCCCACTACCCAAGGTCGCACTGTTGCCACGTCGACTCAATGTTGAAAATGTAGATGTGTTGGTAGTGCCCAGTTTACAATGTTTCCTATTGCAAAAGTTCAAGCTTTACATTCTTTCCTGCATTAATATTATGAAAAATAGTCATTTCCGTCAAACATAAAGTTTAGAATATAACACAAAGAAATATTAAATGGCTCAGTAGTTATTAAACACAAGCAGTCATTGAAGGTGGGAAGGATAACTAACTAGATGGCTTACCGAACCTGAAGGTTCATCACCGAATTAACCAAAGCCTCCCCAGGGGTCTCTTCCCCTCAGGCTTCCCAAATAGTGGACCCAACCAACCAGATGGCTTACGGAACTCGAAGGTTCATAATCGAATTAACCAAAGCCCTCCACCGGACCCTGTCCTGGGCCAACAAAATCCAGTCTCCTTCAGCTCCTATCTCCCATAGATCCCGCCTGAGATTATCCTCCCATCTACGTCTAGGTCTCCCTAGAGGTCTCTTCCCCTCAGGCTTCTCAAATAGTGGACCCAACCAACCAGATGGCTTACGGAACTCGAAGGTTCATAATCGAATTAACCAAAGCCCTCCACCGGACCCTGTCCTGGGCCAACAAAATCCAGTCTCCTTCAACTCCTATCTCCCATAGATCCCGCCTGAGATTATCCTCCCATCTAGGTCTAGGTCTCCCCAGCGGTCTCTTCCCCTCAGGCTTCCCAATAAATACCCAGAGCACACCTCTTGCCCCATCCATGCATGTCAACATATAAATAATGCTTGTTTTCTGAAAAAACATCGATACTGACAATGCGCTAAATGCTATTCCCCTTTGCCAGGAACTATTATAATGTTCATGCATAAGGTGTAGTAGTATTTTTGTATGAATTTGTAATCACACTTCATCCTCACAGAAATGTGTTATAAATACAACTTCTGACTTCTTTTAGTAATAAACTTCAAAAATCTGAAGTACGAGTATTTTCTGTTAGGAGAAACCTGACCATAAAAGCATTAAACATTCTTGTGAGGATCAACATCTGTCAGTTTAACATCTACTCACATTTCCCACGCTGCAATGACATCATAGAGGTAGTCGTGTGCTCGAACATGCTCCTCCCCATCTGGTCGGCTTTGGTAAATGGCCCAGCCCTCCAGATTTCGAAGACCAAGTTTTTCTGCCAGTTTGCTAGATGCATCTGAAGCTGTGTCTGTTGGATGAACATCTATCGCTTTTGTACGCCCATCGAGGAAGAAAAACCGGCACACAATCGTACCTAAACGCCGCATTGCCTGCAGATAAATTAAAAGAACCTTCAAATGAAATATGCTCATTTGCATATATTGTGTTACTGAAATTTTTACATAAATAAGCAAAACTGTTTTTAATCCTTTGAAGAAAATTGTCAAAACTGTATTTGACACAAGCCCATGAAGTTGGACACTCGAACGGCAAAATATTTAATTTTCATCCTCTACTTAGAAACTTATCACATTAATCCAAACTAAAACCAAGCAACACAGACACAGAATAGAAACTGGAGAGATGCCATCCCTGTGAAGAACCAGGTTAAGCAACACAGAGACTGGATAAAAGCTGGAGGGGTGACCACTGTTGCAGACAACGACACTTTTCAATTGACGGCAGATAAAGGGCTGTTTTTAGAAAACAATCACGACAAGACTGAAATCTGAACTTCCACGTGCAGTTAACTCCGGGCAAATCATTTTAAGATCATTCGTACTCCGCATCGGTCAAAGGCTGTACAGAAAGGGACATTATGTACATAAATGACACACAGCAGCCACACATCACGTCATTCCCTGATGACAGAGTCAAAGGGTCTAAAATGTTGGACTCCTGAACCAAACTAATGTACGAGGCGCGTCCTCAAAGTAAGTTTCCCACAGCTAGCAAACCTTATATTGCGCGAAGCGACTGTGCGTACGTGATAGAGCAATGACGTAGCATGGCGCATGCACTAACGGCACTTCCCGCGTTCTCACAGTAGCATCGTTGCAGCTGTTGAAGATGGAGGTTCTTATTCCAGCTCCCGCCGACTGTGAAGTGCGGTCAGTGATAACGCTAGGCCGCACACGACTCGACGGACAGCAAGTCTCCTGCAGAAGTTCAGCTGGGAGGTGTTTAATCATCCACCCTACAGCCCGGACCTCGCTCCCAGTGATTTCCATCTTTTCCTACACCTCAAGAAATTCCTGTCCGGTCAGCGTCAGCGTCAGCGTTTTGAGAATGACAGAGAGGCGGAGATGGCTGTCACACAGTGGTTCCAATCCCAGGCGGCAGACTTCTACGACCCAGGTATTCAAAAGTTGGTCCCACGGTATGACCAATGTCTCAATTCCGGTGGCGAATATGTTGAAAAATAGCTGGACACTTGCTGTATCTGTTGCAATAAATATTTCCATGAAATTGTGTTTTGTTTCTGTAAACGGCCCCAGGGAAACTTACTTTGAGGATGCGCCTCGTAGTTGGTCACGTGAGAAGATTTTATGACATTTATTCACCACAAATCTAAAAGTCAAATATGGTATCTTCATTGTCGAGCTCTTTTCTTATCTGTAATGGTTTTACTTCTTAAAACTGACATGATTTTTCTTTGAATCTAACAAAAGCAAGTCACTGAAACCATTTATTCAGAAGTATACTCATCTTCAACAAACAATTTGTATAAAAATCTCACTTTTCGAATCAGCCAACTTATGAAGCGAAGACGATATGCTATACATGTGCTTTTGTGTTTGTTCGAGCATAAAGTTTCATTCCCTTTTAGACGGAAATCAACAGCATGATCCTTCCCTTATAATAATATAAAAATTGACAAGTAATAAGCGAATGTGTTCAAAGCTGGTTTCAGTGACAGAAATCTTTCTTACCGCAATCTCTACTGTGGAAGGGGGATACTGCCTGCATGAAACTTTTGTGTTCTTGCAGTTATCTGCACACCATTGCACATATTGCCGCAATTTTCCTTCCAGCTGTAGGCTCTTCCGCAGGAAGCACACAAAGTACTGCAAGCACAGAAACAAAACAAGGTAAATAAATATGTAAGATTTGACGTTTTCACAGCGGTGAGTATGAAGATTTCCGTCTTCTGGGTTATTGAGCTGTGTAGAATGGTCGATGTTCACCAATATTTCTGAGGTCATACTGCCTCCGTCATCAGGGCGATGAATTGGTAAATGCTTTAAAAAACTTGTTATTAATATTTGAATATTTTAATTACTGCTACAAAGAATACTGACCTGTGACAAAATAAATCAAATAATATTTACTAACTTGTAGTAACAAACTCCACACACTAATATTATAATTAAACAATCTTAAAATTTCATATGTATAATCTTTAATTGTAAGTCTATGGTTAAACCAGTTTGAAATTGATCCATACAAACAAGATGGCTTGTAATATAATGAAACAATTCAGTAACAAAAGTCTTAAATAATTTACCACATGAGATTATCAACAAAGGTGAAAACATATGATTATATTTTTATTTTATGATATCAAATAAGGTGTGATGCCAGTTCATTTAATTTTCAGGACAACACTACCACACAACAGGATGCAAATCTAAGGTCTACTCTACTGTATATACTTCAAATAACTATCTTAACAACATTATTCACATTTTTAAAATAAACAATTCTGATATCAAATCTAAAACTTCTTGACGATGGTGAAGAGTCAATTGAATAAAAATTTACTTGGATATTATCCATCGTCTAGTAAATAACGACGTTTTATATTTACTAAACGATGGATAATATCCAAGTAAATTTTTATTCAATTAATTCTGATATCATTCAGGTTTTAAATATAATACAACACATCTATTTGCCTAATCAACATAATGTCAACGTAATACTAAATTGTACCCAGAATGGTTACCACTTTGCCCTTGTACTGGAACTGATGATGGCCAAAAAAATGTCCAGCTGATAGGTTTAAGAATATTACATCAAGTCTCTCAAATTCAAGACAGAATAAAATGAGATGCTGCAACTAACCTTGTTATTTACAAATTCTGAAAATCATGACAACAGTTAGGATGTAATAATCTCATTTGCTAAGATATCCAGGAAAAATAAAGAGTGAATGTTATCGGTTATGACCCCAAGAACTTACATAAACAAACACGTTAACTAACAACATGAAAATCATCTGCTCAGGAAAGACAAAAAAAGACTTACTTTATACAAGAGTTTGCTGGGCTGGAAAGCCACTATGCAGAGGCACAACAGAAGCCAAACTCTCTCAGTTGAGTCAGGATTGGGATTGTTGGTCGCCTGGCGCATACACTGAACAAAGATCTCATCTCGTAACTCTTCGCGTTCTATGCCATAGCCAACAATACTTTGGATTGTTTGCAGCTCTGATTCAGGTTTCAGCTCCCCACGCATATATTTACATAAATCCTGTAATAAATGACAGAAAAACTAATCACGATTCAAATACATTTAAAGTTAAGATGACATAAGAATTAACTTAATTTAAAACATAACTTATCTCCATAATACAATCTTCTTACAATCAAATGATGTATGTATGTACGTTCTTCAAACAGCCAGCCAGCTATTCTACGTGACAAGAAATGTCCCATTTTTGAAAAACATTAAAATTCATAAATAAGATCATAGCTTGATGTTGGACCTAACCCTGAACCAGTTAAAATTCTAACAAATTAATTCTGTAACATTAATTTTAATATTATCTTCTTTTGATTTATAATTTACATATGCAACGGATGCACACATGCATTTGTTTTTCTTTTTGGTTTCTGAACTGCTGAAGTACAGTAACTAATTAACTTCCTGTCACCAAAATGATAGCAAAGACAAAGTCCGTGAATATGAATTAAAAGAGTAACGTAAGTTCACAGTAGAAAAACACTACGATTATTGAAATATTATGTGTAGGACTGTACAGTCAGTTGAAGGAATAAGAGAACAGAATTTATCAATAGATCTTATTATCCAGCTATGATAGCAACATGCATTAATTTAATATGTTAATAATTTATTCTTTGTTCCCTTTCATCTAGTCAAAGCAAGATACAAAATCAGAATACCACGATACACACAATCTCAGATGCGAAAACTGTTCCTTCTTTTAAGTTCACAGTATTAAAGAAAACAAGGTTAGTGAACATTGACGCACTTGTGTATACTTTATTCTGCGGGGAAACAATAACAATAGTCAGTAAAAATTTAACCTTCATGATAAGACGATACATAAAGAAACAGGATGTGCAAATGTTACTAAATTCTCTACCCAACTGCGTGCCTCATTACAATCTAATCATCAGGCTTTGTTATAGCAGAAATGATCTTCATGTGACATTATTAAAATTACATTGCAGTAACCCTTTCAATGTCAACACCCCACCACCCAAAGAAAAACAAGCGCGTACCATAAATACACATGAATTACTTTTGAATTTGGAATTACCATAGCAAAACAGTTAGTACGCCTCCTGCGTAACCTTCAGGTACGAATATTTACGTATCCTGCCATCAGGGATAATTGCACATAACAGTTAGTACGCCTCCTGCGTAACCTCCAGGTATCGAATATTTACATTTCCTGCCATCAGGGATAATTGCACACGGTATCTAAAATAACACGTAAAAAAGTTACAGGCGCTCAATCTGACATTGGTACATCACATAATATTTCTTATTGTCAGACTAATGCATCTTGGTATAATGAGAGCTAATTAAGACATGGTGTACCATATCCGAGTTATACTTGCCATACCAAATTTTGTAACTACACATCCTCTACCCAACTGCGTGCCTCATTACAATCTAATCATCAGGCTTTGTTATAGCAGAAATGATCTTCATGTGACATTATTAAAATTACATTGCAGTAACCCTTTCAATGTCAACACCCCACCACCCAAAGAAAAACAAGCGCGTACCATAAATACACATGAATTACTTTTGAATTTGGAATTACCATAGCAAAACAGTTAGTACGCCTCCTGCGTAACCTTCAGGTACGAATATTTACGTATCCTGCCATCAGGGATAATTGCACATGGTATCTAAAATAACACGTAAAAAAGTTACAGGCGCTCAATCTGACATTGGTACGTCACATAATATTTCTTATTGTCAGACTAATACATGTTGGTACAATGAGAGCTAATTAAGACACGACCTGTCGTAAGACAGAACACTTAATAATAATAACATGTAAAAAACTTACCCTGAAGATAGAACATGCCACATTTACATTGTCTGGGTCAAACATGTGAATGTGGGAATTAGGAATTGTGGATCCTCGATAGTATGTCACCATCTCATACTTTGGCATAATCTCAGTCGACTTACTCTTCCTAGTAAGCGTAGCCATAATGGTACCTAGTAAGACGGAACAGATACTAGAAAACCAGCTGTGCAAAAATGCCATACACTTATAGAAAGTGATTGAATCTTGTAACTTAACGTGTCCAATACAAGTACCTTTCAAGGTAATGGAAGGATTTTGGAATGAGTTTCACAGACCTTATCGACTTATGGAAGTCAAGCCATACACTTATAGAAAGTGATTGAATTTTGTAACTTATGTGCTCTTAGTTAAGAAGAGTTATCAGAATTCACTATATATTGAATAACTTCAGAATTGTTTATCTGTTAAACCTAACTATGATAAAATAAAAAATGTCATAGAATCCTGCGTAAGAAAGACACCACAAATAAGTTAATATATACTTTGTACAGTAAAAATATAAACCCACAATAATGAGTGTAACAGAATATAAAATATACTGAATACACATGTACATTAAATTCAAACTTTACTTTCTTAAAAACCTAGAAGTATTTTTGAAACTATTTTCCCAAAAATCTTAAACAGGAAATTTAACTGGGGATTCCAAGATGAAAATTGTTGTTGAGGCACTAACCTTCGGGAGATCTTTCATGAGAATTGAAGTAGTTGTGTGCAAACTCAACAATGTCGTGGTAAGTGTCGTCTAGTGCGGCAGCTGCTGCCTCTTTGTCTTGTATCTCCTCCAGTTCTTGTAATTTCTTCTCTACGCGGAACTTTCGTCTTTGTTCTCTCTCAGGTTCATCATGTCCATTGTATCGCCAAGAATATGACGACTGAATACCCTAAAACAATTTTTTTTTAACTTACTGAGTTTTTTTCTCTAACTTCGTTTTGTTTAATGCAATTTAAATGGCGTGCCAAAGTCCAGCATATGGATCTCCAGTAACTTGCATGTTAAGGTAAGTATAGTCTTGAACAAAGATTAAGTAAAACAATGGAAAAGTGATTGTGGTCTTATGGTTTGTAATACCATGTAAATCATGTAGGTGGTTACAAACGTTTTTCAGGAACATATCGATCGAATTGATGCATCTTCTAAAATATTGGTAACTGCCTACAAGGCAGCATGACATAACAATGCATAAGACCACAACTGACATCCTAACCTCTGCATCGCCCTGATGATGCAGGCAGTATGACCTCTGAAACGTTGGTTAACATCGACCAGACTACACAGCGCAACAACCCAGAAGACAGAAATCTTCATACTCTGATGACGGAGGCAGTATGACCTC